ATTAAAATATAATGTTTTCAGTCACCGTCGTAGGTGGCTGAGACAGTCTGTGTAACATAAGATCCTGCTAACTAATTATGAAAGGTTTCCGTGTGTAAATTGGGCAGTTATAATAATGTAAACTTGACAACTTAAAAGGTCACCCTGATCATAGATGAGTAAATATCATTACTTGAATTTCTCTCACAACCCTGGGCTTCCCCCATAACTCAGCTGGAAAAGAATCTGCCTGCAATGCAGGAGGCCCCAGTTCAATTCCTGGGTCAGGAAGATCCCCTGGAGAAGGGATGGGCTACCCACCCCAGTATTCTTGGACTTCCCTGGTGGCTCAGAAGGAAAGAATCCGCGTGCAATGTGGGAGACCTGGGTTTGATTCCTGGGTTGGGAAGATACCCTGGAGGAGGGCATGGCAACCCACTCCAGTATTCTTGCCTGGAGAATCCTCATGAACAGGGGAGCCTGGTGGGCTATAGTCTATGGGGTCACAGACAGTCAGACATGACTGAGCAGCTAAGCACAGCACAATCCTACTTAAAAATAGTAACTGTTGGGAATTCTCTAGCATTCCAGTGATTAGGACTCCGTGCTTTCACTGCTGAGGGTGCCACCATCCCTGATCAGGGAACTAAGATCTTGCAAGTCACACAATGCAAACAAAACACACACAGACAAAAAAAAAACTTTTAAAGTATTATAACTCTAAAGTAAAGACAGCTTTAGGACAATAATACAAATCCATCAGCAAAGGACATGCACATCTTAGACTGAGAATCATGGGACCAAGCCTCTCTCCTCAGCTCCCTTGAGCTCTCCAGGTAACCTGGGGAAAGACACTGAAGGAGATGGCTAAGCCTCAGTTTCCAAAGATTCTAGGGACCTTCTGAAGTGTTTGGATGAAACACTTTAAATAAAATAATTTAGTTATCTTATCCCTTACCTCTAACTACAATGAATGAATAAAGGAAACACACCTGTGATTATCTATCCAGATCCCTCTGCCCCAGTGGCTGTCAAGTCTTTCATTTCAAGTTACAGAGAACAAGGGAAGAGTTCACCTTGCCTCCTTCCCTTCAGCACCATCTCTGTAAGGGAGAGTTGCCCAGCTTGTGAGAGAACTTGTACCCCTCGTTGTCTAATGATCTAAGAACCGGAATGAACAACAGATGCTCCACCATCTCTTCCAGGTCATGAGGAAATGCACAGATAGAGAAAACCATTTTCCCCAAAGAAAGCCTGCTGGACAGCAAGGCAGAGTTCAGGTGCCCCAGAATTTGAATCCTTGACTTTTCCCAATGCTGCCTCCCATGTATTGGTAATTTGAGTTTCATCACTTGGTCTACAATCTCCTCACATGGGATAAACTCCAGATAGGGCTGATGTTCAATTGTTTACTAAAATCGTCTCCTGCGGTTCATTGTTAGTGTGTAATAAGCTGATGGCGAAGAACATGTTAAACAAAATTAAAGCAAATAAATAATAACTAGGAGTAAGATACTTTCCCTTAAAAGTCACAGAGAGGCAGTTTGAAGAAAGAATCCAGAAAGCGATGGGTGCAACTACAATATGTGACCCCCACTTTTCATCTGGACCTACAGCCCAAAGAAACGGGAACTCCTTTCAGTCTGGGGCCGACCAAGTTAATTGTTATTGTTCAGCCACTCAGCGGTTTCGAGTCTTTGCGACCCCAAGGACTGCAGCACGCCAGGCATCCCTGGCCAAGCTAGACATTTTATAATTAGAAATGTAAATTCAACATCCTTCCCAAGTGGTCTTTACTAATGACTAATAATAAATAGCAACAAAAATGGTAGTAATGTTTATGAAATTATCCATGCCAGGTCCCACACTAAACATTTTACATTTAATCAAATTAATTAAATTTTGCATTTAATCAAGAGAACAACCTCATGATGTAGTGACTATTATCACTCCCATATTACAACTGAGGAAACTCAAGCTTAGAGAAATTAAATACTTTTCCCTTGTTACTGCTTGGATTCAAACCAGTGTAAGCAAAAGTCTTTGCTCATAACCTGCCCAATGTAGCAGCTCCTGAAATTGAGTTCCTGAAATGGTTAGGGTGCTTGAGGGATTGTATTTCTGATTTTACTTCATTTAAATAGATATACACAACTAGAACCTACAGAATTGGACAGCACAACTCTGCACAATAAAGGCAAACTGAGTATAGGATTTTATAGTAATGACCGTTAGTATTACTATCAGAAATGCCTTTAACTATAGGAGACTGACAGTGCTTTTGAGTATGAAGGGAGCCAATTTAGTATAAGTGCTTGTAGCATTAAGTCGTTTCTGGATTTGAATCTCAACTCTGCCAGTAACTAGCCAAGTGATTTGGGTCACTACTTAACCTCTCTAAATCTTAGTTCTTCATCTGGAAATTCATCTGGAAATATCCCCATCATCATGCGGTTATTGTGAGAATTAAATAAGAGAAAACATTAAAGCATTTATGCAGTAAGTGCTAAATAAATGTGCCGGTAACAATAAGGTGTGTGTGCTCATTTGTGTCTGACTCTTTGCGACACCATGGGCTTCTCTGTCCAAGGAATTCAGGCAAGAATACTGGAGGGGGTTGCCATTTCCTCCTCCAGGGGATCTTTCCAACCCAGGTACTGAACCTACATCTCTTGCGTCTCTTGCACTGGCAGGCGATTCTTTACCACTGAGCCACCTGGGAAGCCCAATAACAACTAATTCTGACTTTTGGCCTTTTAAATTTAGAAGTAATTAGAGTTCAGATTCTCAGAAAAGGCTATAATTTAACTTACTAGTAACTCCTATCTTGTAAATGTACTTTGGGGTTTAAAATGTTTTACTTTGAAAATAATTCACACTTACAAAGTTGCAAATACAGTACAAAGAACTCATGTATACTCTTTAACTAGATTTGTCAGTTTTCAATATCTTGCCATATTTGCTTTATATTCTATCTATATATTAATTTTTCTCTGAACTACCTGGTCTTTTAACTCTTAATGTTTAAGTGTATTATGTTTACTATGAAGGATTCTCTTGAATAAAAAAGTACTATGATTAAATTCATGAAATATAACATTGATACTTTAATCTATAGTCTCAATTTCAGTTCCTCCTATTGTCACCATAATGTTCCTCACAGTGACAGTGCCACTCCCTACCCAGGGACCACAGATGTCTGTTTAGCCTCCTTCAATCTGGAATGGCTCTTCAACCTTTCTTCGAAGACTAACATTTTTGCAGAGTACAGGCCAGTTATTCTATAGAATGTGACCCAATTTAGTTTTATTCAGTATTTGCTCATGAGTCTAGTCAAGGCTATGGTTTTTCCAGTGGTCATGTATGGATGTGAGAGTTGGACTGTGAAGAAAGCTGAGTGCCGAAGAATTGATGCTATTGAACTGTGGTGTTGGAGAAGACTCTTGAGAGTCCCTTGGACTGCAAGGGGATCCAACCAGTCCATCCTAAAGAAGATCAGTCCTGGGTGTTCATTGGAAGGACTGATGCTGAAGCTGAAACTCCAGTACTTTGGCCACCTCATGCGAAGAGCTGACTCATCGGAAAAGACCCTGATGCTGGGAGGGATTGGGGGCAGGAGGAGAAGGGGACGACAGAGGATGAGATGGCTGGATGGCGTCACCGACTCGATGGACATGAGTTTGAGTAAACTCCAGGAGTTGGTGATGGACAGGGAGGCCTGGCGTGCTGCGATTCATGGGGTTGCAAAGAGTCGGACATGACTGAGCAACTGAACCGAACTAAGACTCAGGTTATATGGATTTTTGGCTAGAATAATAACTAATTTAAGACTATGTAAATATACTGTTCCTCAAATACCCTCTACCACCACTAGATTCAGCATCTATTGATGACTCCTGCCAAATCAACTTTTACTACAACAGTTACAAATTGATGATTTTCTAATTCCATCATTCCTTCTATAGCTATTCATTGGTATTCTTCTATAAAAAGCTTTCCCTTCCTCCCTTTTTACTCATTTAATTATCTACTTTTTAATTGTATTGTCTATGGAGTCTTATCTTATTCAGTGGGTACCTCTGAGTTTTTAAAAGTACACTTCAAATACAAGTGATAAGAAACTACAGATCTGAATTAAGAATCATTAATTAGGCAAAATGCATTCATTGTGCAAGATGAACACAATTAACTGTGGACTCTTCTCGTTTTGATCGCTCGTAGGCAAGAGAGGTTTGGGAGTCCGAGGCTCCGCAGTTGAGGACATTAGCATGTATCCCCAGCGATAGACAATGTGAGTTATCACCGTGCAGTGTTGCTCATCATCAGACATGATATCATAGCCCAAAAATTCTATCCAAACAACCCGTCAATTTCTCCACAACTAGCGAGCTTGGATGTTTCTGGCAAACTCAAAAGGACATGATTTACAAATAGTAGGTAATATTTGGATCCTTCCACAAGAGTTGGGTTCCAGCTATTTTATAAAATACAAATGTTTTCATTTTGGAGCTCACTGTGTCACTTTCTCAACAAACAGATCCTACAAGCACTTATACTAAACTGGCTCCCTTCATACTCAAAAGCACTGTCAGTTTCCTGTAGTTAGGCCCATGTTATATATGAATAAAATGGGTCTGTATGTATTTATTTTGCGGTCAGAGACCACACATCTAATGGCTACTTACAATATTTACAATCTCCTGGTACTATGGGGAGGAAGAAGGGGGAGACTGAGACCAAAGCTCAGGCCACACAGAGTATGACTATAGATCCTGCTCAAACATGCAAGCAAGACCAGACTCTTCATGCATAGAAGAGGACATGCGAGTGTTATCTGTTTTCTGTGAATGCTTATCAATGCCACCCAAATACCACTAAGAGCAAAATCCAACTTTAATACACTGTGGACTCTGCTATTATTAACATTTCAGCGAAATAAGCCTTTTTAAAAGCCTTGAAAAATTTAGGGTCATTATATCCTTATGCTCAAGGATCACCTTGGGAGGGTTTGAAGCACTTACCAAGAAAAGTCTGGAGACCCCAACTGCCAGTCTCTCTGTCTTCAGATGCCAAACCAGGGGCTGTGGGGAATTGAGCAGGAACACGACAGGCTTGTGGTGAATGTGGACTGAGGAGATGGGATTCAGGTGCAGAGTGACCTGGGAAGAAACAGAAAGAGAAGTCTCAGCACTAGCTTTCCATTAAAACCACTCAGCAGAGCACATGGCATACTGTTTCACAGCTCACCATGAACAGAAATAGGCTATAAGCTAGCTCAGATTCTATAGATAAGATATTAGGTTGAACTAGATGATTCTGCCAATATTTGACCTTTTTTAACTACAAAAAACAGCTATATCTTGTGGTTCAATCCATACTAATCTCAACCAAAACATGAATCACCTCCCAGTAAAAGCAGAATACAAGTAAACAAAACACTTTTTTTTTTCTCCAGAGTTGGCAAAGGCAAAATAAAAGTTACCTTCCCTCAGGGCTGCCTTATCCTTCAAATCAAATGACTAAATTTAAAAGTGGAGAATAGAATCACCTGGGGGCAGGTCATTCCTCTGAATCGTCAAAGAAACGACTTTGTTCTCTTCCAGGTAAGCTCCAATCTCCCTCTATAAAGTCAAGCAAGTTCTGCCAAAGAAAAGCGCCGAAAGCTAAAGGAGAGGGGCTGCCAAAGGGAGCTGCCAGTGCTTTCATCATCCCAGCTATTAGCCTGAAGGGGTTTTCCAAAGAAATGAGGCACAGACAACACACAGAATTAAAGTGGACTGTATACAGTTCCAATCCCCAAAAAGCAAAAACAGAGAAGAAAACCATGAGCCTGGATAGGAAACCTGTGGCCAGTTCTGATAGCAGATCAAGGACTACCGTAGGGTTACACTGTCATTATTAGCATCACCCAAAAGCACCTGTGAGGAGATCTGGACACAGAGGGTTCAACAACACCCTCCCAGAGCACATCAGCCAAGGTCAGTCAACATGAACATGGAAAAGCAAAAGGATGGATAGATAAATACTGAACAGACACTTTCATATAAGTATGTCTCCACTGGCTTTCTGTCCAGAGGGGCAAGGCAAGACCCAAGAATTACTTGTATTTAAACAAACTGAGGTGGTGCTAGTGGTAAAGAACCCGCCTGCCAATGCACGAGACATAAGAGATGCAGGTTCAATCCAGTTCATAGGATTGCAAAGAGTCAGACACAGCTAAAACGATTTAGCATGAGTGCGTGCATGTGTGTTAGGTCACTTTAGTTGTATCTCTTGGTAACCCCATGGACTGTAGCCCACCAGGCTCCTCTATCCATGGGATTCTCCAGGCAAGAATACTGGAGTGAGTACACACACACACAAACAAGTTGAACTCACCAAAAAGCACCCTAAACTGATTAGGCGAAAAACAAAAATGAACTTTAACTTGAAAGAGAGACTGAGAGATACACTGGAAATAATTTTACATCTCAGCCACAATCCTTATGAGGATTAAATGGGCTAGATCTATGATCTGAATCTGTACTGTCATTAGGCATAGAGCTCTCAAAGCTGGATTACTTTACTCGATGTCATCCCTGTGGCTACTGGACCACTGTGATCTCACTGTATCTCTGCCTTTCATTGCAGAACTGCCTAGGACACCAGTGTCACTTATTATAGTGTATCCTCAGGTCACTGATAATAGACACTAAACTATCAATCTCCATACCTTAGCACAGGGTAAGCACTCGGTAAATGCCAATTGGATGTTTAATTTTCTACTTTTCAAGGCCACAAAAGCATCTTATTCTATGAATAATTTGCATTATGGTATATATTGCCATCTGGTTCATTTACTACTGAGAATATGTGTCTTGATTTTCAAAACAGACTGCAAATACCCAGTAGGCAAAGATATGTCTTACATTTAATACTGTGCTTAATACAGAGTATATAATTTTTAATGACTAATTTATCACAATAAATTCATCAATTTATGTTACCTAAAAAGTTTTTTTAATCTGAATAGACTTAAAGGTATTTAGCTAACTAATTTACAGAAAAGTGAAAAAACACAGGAGCAAGACTCTATCATGAGCTATTTCAGCAACACTGCTAGGATCAGTTTAGCATTGGCATAAGCATAATATTAAAAGCAGAGTACTAATGAACAGTGATGTCAGGTACAGCTACAGCAAAATAACATGTTTTCTGATTGTACAGAATCAACTTCACAGAATTTTGGAGATGTGTCCACGTCTAGAAACAGTCAGATTGATCACCCCCATAAACGGGAGAGGTAGCAGAAACAGAGCAGGGGCAAAGATTCATATTGCTACAGTAACTAAAGAGAGAGACACCCGCAACAGAAAGCACACACTATGGGGAGTGGGGAAAGGAGAGATGAAATCATTACTTGTCTAAGAGTACCTGACAATCGCAAAGAAACTCTGTCACTACTAATGTGCGAAAGTTTCCAGATTTATTCATTATAAAACTGTTTATTGAGCACAAAGAATAGTTGCAGTCCTCAGGCAGACAATTCTTCTTGGAGCTCACAGATAAAACAGTAATAAATATATATCTCCAATGAACAAGAATTTAGGGGGGAAAAAAAAAACCTTAGGAAATGAAAAGAAAAATATGTATGAGACAGATACTGGTGATCAAGTCCAAAATTTTCCAGATGGTCCAAAGTGTCGAGGCCTGGCTCACACCATCAAGGAGAGATTTCTAGGAGCCATGGCTCTCTGAGCTTTCCTGGAATCGGCTCCCTCTTCAATATGTGGCAGTGTCTGGCCAAGATGAATCCCCGACTCTGGCACATGGGGCCCAGGCAAAGCCCCAAAAACCATTTGGCAAAGAAGAATTGACACTACAATTGGGAAATTAAAAGAAAAATACTCAATACTTTTTAAAAAGATCAGCTGGCAGCAACAGAGAGTCCCCCCGCCCCCAAGCACCTGCTCACCTAACCCCTCAGCAACCTTCCTCCACTTGAATAAATCATACTGAAGGGAAGATAGAGGACAACCAAAAACAACCAACAAAGAATGAAGGTAAAAAAGCTCCCAGAAATGTGGGGAGAACATACCGAGAATAGCTCTTAAAGAATTCCTGGCTAAGGTGCCAATAATTTCTCTCAGGCTGAAAAAAAGGGGAAAGAAGGAGAAGAAGAAAAAGAATGAGAAAAAGAAAATCCTCTTTAGAATCAACTATAGATCAGGATAGACTATAGTTCCAAAGATAAGAACGTTGTGCTAAAGCTTTTTTCCCCCCTGGGTAAACTGTCCAGGGATTACAGTGGGAAGATCAGAGATGAGACAGGCTGCAGCAAAGAAATAGCCCATGGAGAAGTGATACAAAGAGTATATCCAATAATTTCCAACTTGGACACCAAACAAAAGTTTAGAGAGTTGACTCTCAACCCGACATCAAATTTACACATAAAAATAAGGGTCATCTCTTAGTCCACAGGTTTCACATGTGTGCGTGTGTAAGGAATAACCAACTGAACCCAGAGGCCATGTGGTGGTGAAGGCAAATGGAGGTAAGCTTAGAGGGGCTGCATCTCAAATGAGGGAACAGTGACAAATCTCTGTATTACTGGCCTCTTTCTTAACCTCTGGGAGTTACAGAGCACTTGAGAGCTTAATGCAAGTGATGAACCCCCACCCCCACCCTCCACCACATACACACACCAAAATACCCCACAGATACACAAAACTTTCTGACCATGTCAGGGAAATACATCCATTGCAGGACCCATGAACTCCAAGTTAAAGTAACCATTAACCCACGTCAAAGAATATACTATAGAAGGGCACGAAAACTCTAATCACAGAAACAGAAACAAAATTATTCCCTCTAATTAAACTAGAAATCACACCTCTACTTTTAAAGTATTATCCCCTCAGGGAAAGAACATAATAGATGACAACTCAGAACTAAAAGAGGCTTCCCAGGTGGAGCTAGAGGTAAAGAACTCGCCTGCCAATGCAGGAGACATAAGAGACACAGGTTCAATCCCTGGGTCAGGAAGATCCCCTGGAGAAGGTCATGGCAACCCACTCCAGTATTCTTGCCTGGAGAATCCCAGGGACAAAGGAGCCTGGAGGGCTATAGTCAAGAGGGTCACACAGAGTCAGACACGACTGAAGTGACTTAGTACACATGCAGAACTAAAACACTTTCACATGTACCTTCTGGAATTTCAGTTACTTCTTGAAACCATACTTGATCACACAGCAGTCCAAAAAGCCCTGTCTAAGAGTTTCAGCACTAATGACGTTTGTCTCAAACAGTGCTGAATATTCAGTCTCATGAATATTGTCATGAGACAATATAATGTCTCATGTCATGAGAAAATACAAGTAAATCTTATCTGTCACATCTCAGATGTAGACGCTGTTCCTCATACACTGCTGAAAATACAGGAAAACCATTTGGTCTAATCTGCTCCATGACATCTGTTGATATTAGGTCTTATGAGGCTATCTATGCACTTCAACAAACTATTAGATGTAACTAATGTAGTTCTATTTTACAAAGAAATTCAAAGTAAATATTTTTTGCGTACTCTTCTGGGGAATCTGAACATAGTTTTGACCAAAGTCAAGGACAACTCTCAGGAGCATAAAGCTTCCGAGTGGGAAGACAACCTCCCTGTCTCCCATTTAGGAAGCGTGTCCTTGCCACGTTATCACCAGAAAACACCAGGAAGCGTTTTCTTTGGACCTTGTCTAGGTGAAGACTCAGTTCTCCACAGATTATCTGTGATAAGCAAAAACTATACATTGCAGCAAGGCCTGCAAATCATTTTATCTAAATGAATTATGTACTTTCTTACAGAAAAGAACACCACTCTCTTGATAGAAAGATGCCATATGAAAACTGTTTTGAATTTTCCAGGATTCATGGCAGAGATGCAAGATTATTTCTACCACAGTGATTTCAAAAATTTCTTATTAGTTAGATCCCCTCCTCTTGGGGTTTGTTAAAACAAACAAAAGCAAAGCAAGTGAAAAAATTGATACAAAAGTCTAACAGTTGTCTAATTTTGCTAACGTGTCAGTGAAGTTCCATTTCAACATTTCTTTCCATTTTCCATTTCTGATTCTTGTAAGAGCCCCAATGGACCCATGAAACAGTGAAGTCATCCAAAACATTACCAAAG